TTTTTTTTTTTTTTTTTTTTTTTTTTTTTTTTTTTTTTTTTTTTTTTTTTTCAACAATCCTATTCCCATTCCCAATCGAATCCAATCCAAAAAACGGTCGTTCACATTCCACTGAAAGGGATAGATTTATAACACATCTTTACTTATTCATTACACCCCTCTACCATCTGGCTAAATATATATATATATATATATATATATATATATGCATAATAACCACAACTACTTTACTACTAAACAAAAGTTTTCAACGCACAAACAACAACCAAAAACACAGCACAGCCTAATATGTCAACCCAATTCCAACCTAAACAAACCAACACCCCTTTATCTTCATTTGACGGGACTGTTCCTGTAAGTAAACCAAACTCAAAACAACACCATCCCAATCAGCCCCAACAAAAGCAACAACAACAACAACAACAAGACAAGACATATGCTTTGCCAACCAGCCCTTCGTCGTTGGACCATAGTGAGAGTCACAAAACACCGATGTTTACCTTTGATGGATATGAATTATCCAAAGGAGAACAAGCAGAAGCAGAGGATGAGGATGGGGAAACTAAGGATGACCTCAACCCTTACCAATACGGCATTGAACCACCAGCAATTTTCGAACGTTCAGTCCAAGATTGTTGTTCCCCTCATAGAACCAACTCCATCATATCACTCACAAACACCTTGAACAACTACACCCCATCGTCGTCGGCCACCACCACCACCACCACCAACAACAACAACAACAACAACAACAACAACAACAGCTCCACTGTGAACCCAAACAACAGCAGCAGCAGCACCAGTATCTCCAATTTAACTGGCAGTATCCATAGCTGCACCGCCTCTTCAGGCAGAAGAAGATCATTCACCAAAAGACCTAGATCATCGACCACCACTTCTTTCAACAACCGTCTTGAAGACTCATTCACCCCCTTGAACTCACTCATCACCTCATTTGACCCCAACAGCGACAACATCCCCACTTTGTTGCCAATGTCACCAAATAGTCCACCCAAGTTGAAACACACTCAATCTCAGTTGAATTGCTGTTCTTATGCCGAGTTGATAAGTGATGAGTCATGGTCTACTCGTTCTCCAAATGGTTCCTTTAGTGGCGCAAGTGGCGCAAGCAGTTTAGCTGGTCCTAGAAGAGCTCAACAACAACCGCCACCAATCAGATCAATACAGTCTGCGGGAGGAGTTCCTACTTTGAGATCTCCAAAATGGAGAAAGTAGACTTAAACACACACTCACTTATATATTCACACATACACACACCCACACACCCACGCACCCACACACCCACACACAAGCAAGCACCATACCATGTCTTTGCAAGATGGTATGCAGTATGGTTGTCTCTGTTTTATTTGTTATTTTGTTGTTTATTTTTTGTTTTCACTGTTGTATGGTTTCATTTATGGTTTACTTCTGGAGAAATGTTTTGAGATTTTGTGTCTGTGGGAGTGAGGTGAATGAATATAATATTGCCGCTTGTTATTGTTACTAAAACCAAAGTTAGATTTTTATACATACATACATATATATATATATATATGAATGAGAGATAGAGAGAGAGAGATAGAGAAAGAGAGATAGAGAGAGATTTAAAGTATGCATTATTTGGCTTAACCAATCGGTCTCTGCCGTATGGTAGAGAACTATTGGACCTTCACCTGACACGATCAGATCCATTACATTTACTACAACCACTTCTTCTTCTTCTTCTTCTTCTTCTTCTTCTTCGAATCTAATATATTAATCTAAACTCTCTCTATAAAATGTATCCACGGTAACCACACTCGACTCCACCCCTCCTTCTCCTCTATTCTAGTCCTACCCAAATATCTCCATAATACTGAAACATTTCCTGTTCTCGTACACTAAAGTCAATAACTCTTCCAACACGCTTATTATTCTCTCCCGATTTAGTATTACCACCGATGGACGAGTATGCACACCACATATACCCCAAACAATATCGACTATCCATAAACCACCCACGACTAGGCTCATCGTCATTATTGATGGCCCAATTGTGCAAATCCATAGGAGGAATGATCGCCGACTGGATAGGCAAGGGGCTAGTATAAAACGCCCTAAACTCATCCGCTGAATGTAAATGCTTCAACCTATCCTTGTGTTCAGCCTCCTTTTCGAAATCTAACCCGGGTGATTTGGAACAATATAAAAACCCAGAATTGATCCACACAAGGGCATTATCTTCACTAGAAACATGTCCCGGATGAGGCGAACACAACTCAATTGATTCATGGGGTGTTGAGCCATCGGGCTTGGGTCTGTCCATCGGTGGTGTCTTGACTCCAATTGCTGCAGCATAATTGTCGTCAAATACATAGTTTTCTTCTCCGGAAATGGCCATGGCTAACCAAAACAACTCCTTATCTCCATGACTCCGCTTCGTCACTGGTTCGTAAAAGTTTAGTTGAAACATCATCAACAATGCATTGAAATGGATCTTACGATTGAGCATAACCAAACCGGATTCTTGATAGTGGAATAGCCCCTTAAAGAAGTCAGTATCAAGAGTGTACTTGGTCATGATTGGGATATCAAACATGACGGAGTCGATGATGGATGGGCCCAATTTCTTGAAAAATACCGCATCGGACATGGGTCTCGTTTCAAATGTGGTTCTATCCTTGTAGAAATACGTGCCTGATTCCTTATATCCCATCAAGTTGAAGAAATACTCTGGAGTCTGCATCATAACCGTATCGGCATCAATCAACATAATCTCTTCAAACGAATTGAAAAACGTGGCAAGGAACTTGTTGGCGAATTTCTTAAACTTGTCCTTGTAATCACTGTGGATGACATTGTATGTGTTGACGAACCAAATCTCCTGTTCAGGTAAACCTTTTTCATTGTGCAAGTAATCGTCAGGGAAATATTGAGCTACTTTGTCAAATGATTTGGGTAAGGTGGCAATAACTTCACGTCCAGCAGTGACAATCTTCTTTTTGGTATCTTCCAGTAAATCATCATAGTAGACAATTTGAATAGGTAATTTGTTGTTCAATGCTCGAAGTAAATGGATCAATCGAACAGTATCATCAACATGGCTATCTCCAATAGATAGGACGATCCCCTTCCCATTACATTTGTTCTTGAACCTGTTCAAAAAGAAATCCATCTGTTCGGAATCCTTGTACGATTTCGATGTCTTTTGTGACTCATCATTGACATATTTCGACATTTGTGGTGGTTTGTAAAACACTTCCCCCGTGAACCGTTCATAAATTGGGTATTCAAATGATAACCATGGGTACACACGATGTTCAAATGCACTATGTTTAATTGATTTGAAATTGATGAGGTTTTCTTGTTTGGTGTAAGAAAATGATGGCACACCCTTGCCACTTTTGGAAGCAACATTGATGCCGTGGATTAATTTATGTTGCTTATTGACAAACTCTTGAGTACGTTTGATTTGCGTGGTATTATCACTTGTAAGATAACACTTGTTGAAAATCCTCAATATCGACACGTGATCAACTATCTTTTGTTCATAAGTCATGGTTCGATTCCAAAAATCTTCATAACCTTTTCTTATAAAAGTTTCGAATTCAGGGGTCTTTTCCACCTCATCTTTGTTCTTGTTGTGCTTCTCAGCGAAATTCTTTTTGTATTCTTCCAAATGGTTGTTTCTCCAATCATTAAATTTAAATTCAAGTTTATTTTCCAATTCAATCTTTTCATTAACTCTGAAAATCCAATTCTTGTCATCAATAAACAAGTTTTGGAAAAACAAATCACACCGTTGTTGGAAATTCAAGTTCCCAAAGATGGAGTCAATCTCATGGTTGGCGAAAATCTTGTTGTAGATGGAAGCGTGAGCGTCGATTTTACGTACATCTTTCTCCTTCAGTTGTTGCTTTTGTAATAGTTTGATGGTGATGTCATCTTTGAAAGTTTTCGCTGACGACGGTTTCTCTAGCAACTGCTGTGGGGGTTGAATGTTTGCTGGGTCGTATTGGTCGTAAATTGAGGATTTGGACAAGTAATGCAGATCATTGTTGCGCGAATGGTAGGTGTAAAATAGCCAAATATTGATGGCAATTAGCCATATTACTACACCTGAGTAGACAAATGTGCGCTGGTTAGATCTGTTCTTAGTGAACTTTTCAATCATTATAAGGGAGGGGGGGGTTAGGGACTAGTTGTGAGTTGGGAATGCCTTTTGTATGTGAGAGAGCACGATCAAATCTCCTAAGAACAAATTAAATGTAATGATGGAATTAAGTATTAATAAAAATTGCGATAGATTAGGAGTAGCGAGACCTCTATGATTAAGCGAATGTGCAAAAGTTAATGTGTTGGTGTTGGTGTGTGTAGGTGCGTGAGTAAAGCTGTGATGCAAGTATATGTGAAGAACGAAACGAAACGAAACGAAACGAAACGAAACGAAAGAAAGGAAAAAGTTGTTGAGATCTGATTTGGTTTTTAGATCCCGTTTTGTTGGTAGTATTTTTGATATTTGTGAAATGACTTTTGGCAAAAAAAAAAAAAAAATAAAATAAAATAAATTGAAAATAAACTGAAATAAAAAAATAAACGTTGTGTTGGAATGTGTGTTGTTGATGTTGTTGTTGTACTTTGTATGTATGGCTGGTGAAGTTTAAAAGTAAATTTTTTTTTTTTTTTGTTTTCAGCTCTTTCAAAAACGGCGTATTTAATAGAGGGACAAAAAAAGTTGTTTGTTTGTGTAATAGACAGTGAAATATTTAATCAAGAACGCACGTGCACACAAATGATATTGGTCCAGTTGAATGTTGTTGTTGTTAGTGGAGCACACACGTCCGATAAATATGGTTGTAGCTCTAGCTGAAATATAAAGTGATGGAAAGTCTGCACTCCCGGAACTAGTGTATCTCTTCTCCAGGTTGAGATATGGATAATCATACGTGTTTATATACACCAATGTAAAGTACGTTTTAGCCAGACTCAACTCTGTTTATTGTATGGTTTATTTACACACGTATTACATAATCATCTTTGTTTATTGTTACTATTAATACTTGGTGAGGCACTTCTCTTATCGTATATGCAGTACACACAAAATTTCTTTTTATATATATATATGTATATATGTTTTGGTTCCTCTCTCTTGTTTGGTTTATTTGTTTACCTTTTGTTATCTTTTTACGTTTAAAAATTTTACTGTTGCTGTTGCAGTTTGAAATATTATCTTTGATAGAGTGTTGCTATCCCTTGACCAACTGTGCAACAGCTTTAACCGTCATTAGAAGCCGCTGATAGCTGCAGCCATGTTTACATTCCCACTCCTCAAACTATATAAAGTATTCATCCTCACGTTACTCTCTCGGATTAATTTATGTGGTTATATAAAGGAACCACACTTTTTATTATTTTTTTTTGTATTCCTTAAGAACAACACTAAATACCCTTTTGTGTAGATAGTTGTACCTGCAAATGCGGCTGTTTTACAAACAAAAAAAAAAAAAACAATAGTAAAATAGTAAAATAGTGAAATAGGCTCCATATACACGCATTTTTTTCTACATCATATGCAAGGAGTAACTAAGAGAAGGATCTCACTCCCTTGAATAAGAAGTATGATGTGCCTCAATATAATCTCCCACTGCCCTTGCTTCCCACAGCAAGTGTAGCTGAAGTAAAATCTTGGCAACAACATGGATATGATTATCACTCGCTGAAAATCGATTTCACATTATGCAATCGTTGCTAGCTGACACTACCTTTTCTGTTGTGCTGTGCTCTCCCCTCATTCCTCATTTCATCAACGTTTGAAATGTGAGAGTGAGAATCTCACAATGAGGCGATTTTTTCATACAGTAGAGAAGAGTGCTAGAAGCAATATGTTCTGACAAATTTGCTGCAACACAGATTACCTTGACCCCTCTTTGGAACTAGCAGGAGGTACATCCAACACTCTTCTTTTGAAAAAAAAGATAGGCCCTCTCTTTTCTCACATATAAACCCTTTAATTTTTGCCAATATTACAATACCTAAGTTCCGTATTGGTACTGTTTAGTTCCTATTTTGGTTGATGTAAAATACTGTACGGCATTTTACCTAATTTAAGCCCACTTGTTGTGCAATTGTTTCTCATCTATAGTGGCACAAAATTGCCTACAGAGATGATTAAAACAATCTCATCAAAATCATTGTGCATGTATGAAGAGAACAATAGAGATTTGGTTTTGTGGTCCAAATTAATTCTCTATTGTGCTCTTTTTTTTTTGTACTGATGACTAACTTGCTTGCACGATCGTTGCAAATGAATGTACTAACATGCAACGATCGTGCAAGCTTATTGAGTTCACACTAATGCAAGCGCTTTGTTGACAAAAAGTCTTTGTGTAACTATACCACTTGCTGGGTAAAGATACAACTTGGATGAAATTTGCCAAGACAGTAAAAACTCATCCCACTTAAAAAAAAAAATCTAAGTATGTTCACTTGTTCCAGCTTTGTTTTGTTCAGAAAAATCCGTTGGTGTAGCGCTATTGTAAGATTGTATTGTTTGTGTTACCCAAGACTAACTTAAGGCACACGCGCACCCGATAAACTCGCTTGCCTTTAACAGCACAACTTTATTGTTATTAATTTCACAACAGAATGTATCAGAGGCTTTTCCGGCAATACAAACGCGTACACAATGAACAACCCTTTTGCAGAGCCAACACTGTGGTCCCAAGAGAACCAAAGAATTATTGAGCTTACGCAACTTCCATCTCGAACGCGTAAAGTCCGCCTCGATCATCAAAGACTAACCCTCATTTTGATCGTCGTTTCTTTTCGCTTTTGTGTAGAAGACCAGTACTGTTACGTTGTGATTTTGCATCACATGCATGCTCACAGCGTATTGAATACCAATTAAGCATTTTTAATTCCTTGGCAAACTTAAAAAATTGGCTACCAGAGTTTAGACTCAAGCTTATCCTTTGTAGAAAGTACGAAGCAGATAGACACTATCACTAAAACTTTGACACGGTCAAAAATGTTAAAAAAAAAAAAAAATAAACGCGACATTCAAAAGACTTGCTGAAATCTTGGTGTGAGAAGTATCTTAAAACTCATTAGATTTCTGGATCAGCGAAAGCAAAGAGCTTAGTCATCGCACAACTAGATATGATGTACAATTGTGATTTAGAGTAGAGTTCTAAGATAGAAACTAAGCTGTTGCGATATGTAGTGGAGGCAAGAGAGAGCAAGAAAGGTGTTAAGTGGAACTCACAACTCGCAAAGTTTTGCAACTCTGATATCCACCGGTTTTAATTCACTCTCAGCGTATGTAGACCCGAGTTTCCCTCTCATAATAGATTATTCGCCAATGTTTGGTTACATCTCCAAAACTTTGAGAGGCTTATATCCATTGCTAGTCAAACAATGATAGCCATCGACTGTTCCATGCACCATGGAGCTCATGCTTCTGGGAGTGGAATGTGTGAAGATCAAAGTGCTGCATGTTTTGTCAATGGAAATGGACTTCGATTTATTTTCGTGTGAATGTAAATTCACTTCTTGAAGAAAGGAAATAGAATAGCCTCCTTATCGTAACAGCTGCAGTTGCTTTAGCTTTAGTCGTCGATGATTTACCCTTGTTGTGTTGTTTGTTTTACAAGGACGAGTCAAGAGTGTCCTTTTGTGAACAAGCCAAGGCGCAAAATATTTACGAAAATTTCTCTCGTATAACCATATCATATAAACGAATTTTTGGAGCCGTACCAAAAAAAAAACAAAACTTGGTGACTCGCAAAACAAAATAACAGCATATCTCTTTATCCTGTAACCTTTTATCAATTAGTTGGTGCAGTGCGCTTTTTTTACAGTTTTGAAACGCCCATTTATAATATCTTTTGATGTGAGTGTCAAAAACCAAGAAAATATTGTCCCACACATTTTGTTAATTGACACAATCAATTCGGTCGCTTTTTGATAAGGCAACTACCTGAATTTGTCAACCCTTGTTTGCTCAATCCCTTAATGGCTATTAAAATGTATTGCCCTGTGTGTAACTAAAAAAAAAAAAGAAAAAGAAAAAAAGACTGGTAACCATGGCATTTGCAATGACAGGCAAGAAAATATCATAACCACAAAACCATGACACAAGCTAGTACGACGAACATGGGGCTTCCTTATAAATAGACTAGAAGAATCTCTTCGTGTGACTTTATTTCCTTCTTTTCAACAAAAGGATTTAATCACTAGCGTGCAACACTAATCTATAACTCACAACAACCACGAATCATTTGTAATGGCAAACACTGATATTATTGGCATTTGGTGCACAAACGCACATGGGCTGGCAGCTTATACGGGAGCCGCTTACGAAACTCAAAGATGGGAATGTGTAAGTGGAACACCATATGTGCCAGCGAGTACGTACAAGGCTGGTGCGCAGAGAGGATTTATGAACAAGTTGCTTGTGGTGCTTATGGTATTGATAAACACTTTGTTGGGCTGATTTGATGTGAAGGCAATATCAGCAATATCAGCAATATCAGCAATATCAGGCTACTTGAGACAAGCTAGATAGACACATATAGTACAATGACGAAGTAGTTGAGTTTAAGAATAAAATCATTGTGTAAGCGTCCACTCGTGTTCATTTAGCAAAGCCTTCTTTCACTTCAATCCTTTTGAAGCTGTTTAACTGTTGTCTTTGGAAAACGTATGAAAAGAAGTGTGCCACTTTATCCTGAACTCTGGTTCTGCTAGCAGATAGTACCTCTTTGCCCCTCTTGTGGACTCGCCCCAAAAGAAAAACAAGTGAAAGGTAGGCCCAGGTGGGGAAAAGCCGATAAAGATTCGTGAGCTCTAAAAAGACTCGTTCAAAAGGAGATGTCACCACTTGCATTCTTTCGCTAGTGAGCTATTGTACTCAAAATGTTTGCGCTGCAAGATTTTCAAAAGGTCTTCTTGTATGGAAAAATGATCAAGGAATAGAAGCACCTCAATGCCCTTGCTGAAAAAAGAAAAAAAAGGGGGTTGCGCTGAGCATCCACAGTTCTGTAATTCGACTCAACACACTTGCAAAGGCACTACCTGTGTGATACTCTACCCACCCGGCAAGCTTTACGGTGTACAGAGATTAGGGTGCATCGAATTTGAACATATTCCTTTGGGCAAAGATAAACTCTTGGCCAATAGACACTTGGTCGGCGACTCAATTGTCTGTGTTGTAGTGTTATTCCATTAACAAACTAGCAATATAAGCTATTGATTTGTTGTTTGGGCTTTTACTAAGCCACCAATGTGCTCAGATTTTGCAGTTTGATGTGATTTTGTGGTAGATCACGTGCAATTATCGTGACCACCAATGATTTGTTGAGAAAAAGACATTTTGAAAACAAAGGAAGCGAGTATACCCACACAACGAAGGAAAAGATGGAAACTTGAATTGACAGTAAGCTCATATTGCGAAGAACTACGGTACTATAGCTCGTGATGAGTATGGGCTTACATTCATTTCATCAAAAAGATTACTTGAAAAATTTAGTGTTGCAAGAAAATTACATTTACACCACCAACGAGAGGGAAATCAAATAAGCACCACTACTTTTATGCAAAGAGAGGCGAATTCTTGAAGAGTTATGAATAATGAGTGTGCTGAAGGTCCTTCCTGCCACATGTGTACTCTTGAGTGAGCACATACATTGGAAATTGCACACACAAACATATGTTCCCCCTCCCCGCAGGCGTGTATCTAATTATTAACACACTTGTCTGTGATCAAACACATGGCGAGAACCTGATACATTGGCCGTTATTGTGATGTGGAAGAGAAACGTGATTTTCCTCGTGTGTTCACTTTTTTTCTTCCGTGTGTATGTGTGTGTGTGTGTGGTATCTGGATATACCTACCAACGTGTGGCACTGCAATGTCTACCACACAGACACAGATGTAATTGAGAGAGATATTGTCGGAGGCGGGAAAGGACATGTGGAACTCGGCGAAGTGTTTCAAGCCACAGGCTTTTCACTGTCGGGCCCATGCACACATTCAAATGTTTTTTTTTGGCAGTGTGTTCAAATTCCCACGGGCCGCTTCTTCAATTGCGGATGGTGACAATGTCCGATATGGATGTGTTTGGTGGAGATGGACAGTTTTCGTTGAATTCATGGTCCCCGCTGTGTATGATTTTCAACGCATTCGATTCACTATAAATATCCATCCAATTCCCGCCTTAGCTTTACGAATTCTCAACTCATCAATACAACCTCCTTCATCATCAATCAATACACTATGCAATACTCTACTATCGTATCTGTTGCTTTGGCTTTAGTTTCTGCTGCTCAAGCTGGCTACGTCAGACCAAGACCAATCACTGAACCAGACTGCGAACCCACCACTACCCCCTGTGAGCCAACCACTGCTCCCTGTGCACCCACCACTACTGCATGCTGTCAAGACAGTGATGTCACTACTTTCAGTGGTGAGTTTGCGTTAGGTGTCAAAGAGTTGTGCAATGACGATGATGCGATCTACTTGGTGTTTGAATTGCCAGATGGTCAATTGGAACATAACGGAGTTACAGTTGATTGCGGATGTCACACTACCACTAGCACCACACCATGTGCACCAACCACCACCCCATGTGTTGAGCCTGAACCAATTAGCGATTGCGATGACAAGAAGAAACGTTGGTACAAACCCAAGCCAAAGCCAACCCCAAAGCCAACCCCATCGCCATACGGATTGTCCAGCTTGTGTCATCCTTACTGTTCCATTACTGAAACTTCCGACTGTACTACTGACTTCTTCACTTTATGTGATTCCATTTTGAAGGATGGTAAATACAGAACTGGAGAGATTGTTGCCAACCACCAATTCCAATTTGATTCACCAGTCCAACCAGATGCATTGTACAACAAGGGATGGTCCATTGAATACAAGGATGATTATTACTTGTTGGCATTGAATGGATGCACCAGCTTTTGGGAATGTCCAGTTGACGATTGTGGTCTTTGGAAGTTGTATGATGCATCAATTGATTCCAAGTGTAAAGAGATTGAAATTGTGATTATTTTCAAAGATGAAGAGTGTGATTAGGTAGGGAAAGGTGTCTCTTTGGCTATAGAAGGTTTTCAAGATGTGCATAATTTGGGTGGAATTTTCTGATTACTTCGTTTGAGACTAGAGCAGGTTCTCTAGTTGCGGTCTCATTGGAGTTCCACCTCCGATGATCTTGTTTGGTTTTCATTTTTTTTCGTTTTCATTTTCATTTTTTTTTTCGTTTTCATTTCGGTTACTGGTGGTGTCAAAGTCATCAACTCTATCTTTATTTAGTGATCTATAGTCCAAGGTTGAATGAAAAGTAGTCACATCCTATAAATTCATATCGTAGGTTGCAATTTCATATCGGAAACAATTCAGCTAAGATTCAGTTAGCTTCCTCTTCCTCTTCTCAATTCTCTTTTCATATTCCACCTTTGCAAACCTTCTCTCTGGTTCTGTACGAGCACAAAAACCACGCCCAAAAAAGTTCAGAAACTTTTCTATTGTCTTTTTCCAATCCAACGCGTCTTAAAAACCCACATCACAGAATCCACGAGAAAAATAGCTGAGAAAGTCAAACGACCATTCAACGTCTCAGATATCTAACTGCTTCCACAGCACCTACACACACACACACACACACACACACACACGCACGCACACCTCGACATGTCAATTGTGTCACTTACTGGAATCGAGGTGCTCAACAACCCCGCCAAATTCAGCGATCCATACGAATTTCAAATCACATTTGAATGTCTCGAACCGTTGAAGGAGGATCTCGAGTGGAAACTAACCTATGTCGGGTCATCAGATTCGCTAGATCACGATCAGGAGCTTGATTCGATTTTAGTTGGGCCAGTGCCAGTGGGTGTCAATTCCTTCTTGTTCACTGCTGATGCACCAAGCCCTGAATTGATTCCTGCTAGTGAATTGGTAAGTGTGACTGTTATTATTCTTAGTTGCTCGTATAATGATCGAGAGTTTGTCCGAGTGGGGTATTATGTGAATAACGAGTATGATACTGAGGAGTTGAGGGAGAATCCACCAGCTAAGGTACAAGTTGACCATGTTGTGAGAAATATTTTGGCTGAGAAACCAAGGGTTACGAGGTTCAATATAGTTTGGGATAATGAAGGTGCCGCCGATGAGTACCCTCCTGAGCAACAAGAAGGAGAGGATGAGGATGAGGAAGAAGATGAAGATGAGGAAGAAGATGAAGAAGAAGACGAAGACGAAGAGGAGGACGGCGGAGCTGATGAGGAGGATTTGGAAGAGGAAGAGGCGAATGGCGATGGTGAGGTCGATTTGGAAGCTGAGGATTTAGAAGAGGAAGTGTCCACGTTGAATGATAAGGAACAGAATGCCACGCCACCTGCAACGGCTGCGTCAGAAGTAGCTATTGAGGTAGATACGCCGACTGATAGTTAATAAACACTGTATTAGTAGATCTCTCTCAAAAAAAAAAAAGAAAATAGTGGCATTAGTTACTATGATGTACACACTGCTACAACATTTGCGAAAAGTCCTTTAATTGTAATTGTCGATCAATGCATTTATCGTCTGACTCAATCGGTCAATGATGGGTAAAGATATATTCGTATGAGGATATTGTCTCAACTTGCCCACCCATTTGTCGGGATGCCACTTGATACGTTCTTGTCTCAACAAATCCAACATTGAGCCCTGAACTATCATGTCATAGAATTGTTTCAAAGAATCTTGAGTTATAAGATGCTTGATTTGGTCAGTTGAAAGATTGTCTTGATCAAAATAAGGTGGGGGTAAAGGTAGTTTCAAATTATTGTGATAGTCAAGTCTTATCCTGTCATTCACCGACGCTGTCTCTGTGTACTGCGAAGTAAGGTATGGGTCGTTAATTCGTCTGTCTCCAACATGCACACCGTCTTCATCCATCATTCCCGCTGATGTCACAGGCAACTCTCCTACCACGCTATAATTCTGTTTGCAATATGAATGGCGCATTTGAGCATATCTATTCCCATTAATAGGGGTTTCATATTTGAACTGAAATGAACTCGGCCTTTGACGCACAAATTTGTAGCCATTCACACTAGGACCGTATTCTTGCGTGGTGGCGGTAGAAGATGGAGGTGGCGGTAGTGGTGGAGTTGATGCTCTCAGTGAAGTTGGTGTAGATTGTGATATTGGCGTAGATTCCAAGCCATTGTGGTTATCGAACGAGTTTGAATTGTTTTTGTAGTCGTCTTCCGCTTCTTCCGCTTCTTCTTCTTCTTCTTTCTCTTCATCATCATGGTCATCGTCATCATCATCATGATCGTCAAGCGATTGTAAGGGTCCTTGCGGTCTGTGCGCTAGTTCTTGTAACGATGTCTTGCGTGCGTAGTTCAAATCCAATATGGTTTCCGTGGACGCATGTTTGAACTTGAGTTTCTTTCGTTTGGGTTGAGGAGGGCACGGTGTAGAGTCATTTGTTGAGAAACTCAACTTCAAAGTTGAAGAATTGGCTGTATGGGCGGTGGTATTGCATATAGACATGTGAGAATCTTGCAGCGTAAGCGGAGTCACAATTTTGGACTCAATAGCATCCAGGTGCATCCTCTTCTTTCTATTGATGAATTTGGGAGGTGAAATGGGGAACTCATCATCTGATTCATCTGAATTGTTAATCATTGTCTTGTTTCCAACAGAGTTTCCATCATCGTCTAGACCAACTTCATTGTCGCTTTGTTCTTGTATCGTTTCCACCATGTTACCTTCTGCATCAGTATGGATATCATCTGAAGCATCTGACTCTGTATCAAATACTTGCGATTTCAAGTGCAAGTCATTCAACATCCTCATTGGCGAAAGAAAAGATACAGTTGAATCTGGATTGATTGGAGTAGAAGCAAACTCAAAAAATTTTTGGCCCGGTAACTGGATTGGCTTCCTTGGGGATGGTGTTTTTTCTATGGAATCGGATGCACTTCCATTGTCCTCAACAGATTCGCCGTACTCGGTGTCATCGGTTTCGTCGGCATCAGAAGACAAAATTTTTCTCTTGAACCACACCTTGCTTTTCTCGGGTGTTGCCTTATGGCGTCGATGTAGTGTTAGGTGCTCATTCCGATTTGTTTGGGATGGTGCTGGCGAAGATGCTTTATAGTTACTATCTTGAGATTGATGCGGTAGCTTTGGTGTCGTGTGCAGTAGTAGACCCATCAAAACAAAGTGTTATATAGGCATATGGTATGCGTGAGAGTAAATATGGTGATAGCGTTAGGTGTGAAACTATACAAGTGAATCCAGTTCAATGATAAGTAGTTGTGATTTGAGTTAAATTTTGGATTTGTTGTGGTTTTGTTATTGTGATTTGATTTTCTTTCTTTTTTTTTTAATTTTTTTTTTAGTTTCACCCAATCCCGTGTTTGGCGTTTATTCCGCCATACAGAGTATCGAGAGGAAGCCCAAAATGAGACCTATAAAGTCAGTGGGATACTCTTGCCTACATGAAAGCAATGAGATAGCCCAAAAGAGACACAGTTAAATTTGTTTACATGCTTTGGAATCAGTTGAACCCCCTCTTCATCACCAAAATGAAAAGACTTTCAGGTTGAAATGCAGCTGTAGTTCGTTCTGCGTGAGCAAAGTGCTACTTCCGAAGAGTGCTAACTCGAGTACTAACTCGAGTACTAAGTACGCAACTTGCCTGTTTGGACATCATTAGTCACTGGCTCATCATCAGCAAATTTTACGTGTCGTAAAGTCCAATGTTGTTAATTTGCGACACTGTAGTCGCAGCCAATTCAACATAATGACCTGAAAAGGAGTTAAAATATGCGCACGTGCTCGAATATTTAACCTCGTGTGCTATACTTTTCAAGTTTTTATTTTTTTTTTTTTTTGTGACTGCTAGCAAAGCAGTTGGAAGGGGAAATTATTTTGAAAAATGCAGAGATATTATGCCTCTCAAACAGACCCCGTGGTCGGGAACATCTTTGTATAGAATGGATAGAATAGAGTTTCGACCGATCGTGCTGTCTTTGAAGCCTACTGTTAGTTGTATAGCTACACATAGTAGTACCAACTTCGGAGTTTTTGGGTGTTGGAGCTTTACGCATCGAGGATACAAAGATAAGCAATTCCTTTAATTACATTTTTGGTAAGAAGAACACGCACTTTCTTGAGTTTGCTGCAGCGCCGTTTCATTTTTATTGGAGATTTACCTGTTTTTTAATTTATATGCAATAGCAATAAAACAATTCATGAGATCACCTGTTTCCCCGCTTTTTATCTACGAATAGTAACTACTTACACTCAACAGCGACTGCCTCAGAGATTTATTGCTGGTAATATCGATGTTGTTCTATTTCATTCCAAACTTAACCGCAGCGGAACGTCATTTATCTTTTGTTGTTTTTTTTTTTCTTCACTCTTTCTTCGATTGTGCCACAATTATCGAAAATTATATAACTACACACAACAGGACGCAACGAAAGTTTTTGCATATCAAAAATATTCAATCACCAAACACTTAGTCACTCACAACTCAAAACTGACAACTCAAAACTCGCAACTCAAAACTGTCAAGTATTCTTTATCTGTGCGCTACTCCAACGAATCTTTTCTCGCCCAAGTAGTAACCCCATTATTTATTAGTGAAGACTTGCAAACACATACGCACACATTATCTTCTGCTAAGCAACTAATTTTACCCATTTGATGAGAGATCTGCTATCCGACCTCGCTAAATCGCTTTCGTACCTCGATATCTCATATTTAACTTTTGAGGCTGTCCTAGAAGTTGTAATCGTTTGTTTTGCTGGGTTTTTAGCTGCCAAGACTGGTTTATTAAACACCCAGGGGCAAAAACTTCTAAGTTCATTAAATGTTGATTTATTCACACCATGTCTTATCTTTTCCAAATTGGCTAGCTCGCTAAGTCTATCGAAGCTTATTGATCTTGCCATCATACCCATCTTTTTTGCCGTGTCGACTTTTATTTCGTACGGGTGTTCAAGAGGTACTTCGTGGTTCTTGTCGTTGAATGAGCCGGAAACCGATTTCGTCACTGCTATGGCAGTATTTGGTAACTCAAATTCATTACCAGTCTCGCTTACTTTGAGTTTGGCATACACCTTGCCTGGACTATTATGGGAGGATGTACCTGAAGATGATAGCGACAAGGTTGCCGGTAGAGGTATTTTGTATCTCTTGATCTTCCAACAATTGGGTCAAATCTTGAGATGGTCATGGGGATTCAATTTTTTGTTGAGGAAACGATCACACGTGGAGTTGAATACTTATTACAATAAGCATGGCGCTGTTATTGAGTCAGAAACAGCTCGGTTGTTATCAGCCGAGGATGCATTATACATTGAAGAGGGAGAACAGAGGGCTTCTGAAGTTGAGCCAAGCTCGGATGAGAATAGCAATGAATCACAAGAATCAACTCAGCATGAAGAGCAGCAGGAAGTGGTGACTCAAGAAAAGCCATCTTCGCTTTTAGCCAAATTTGCAGAATTACCAGGTATCAAGCAGTTTCTTTCATTTATGAATCCCCCTTTGTGGGCCATGTTTCTAAGCGTTATTGTTGCTTCAACACCCTTACAGAAGGTGTTTTTCCAGTCCGGAGAAGAGAATGGTGATGGTTCATTTATCCACAACACTTTAACGGAAGCTATATTTGGTTTGGGCTCGGTTTCAATCCCCTTAATCTTGATTGTGTTGGGGTCAAACTTGTATCCAGCAGCAGATATTCCACCAGCATCAAAACACTACAACCGTATGTTGTTTGGCTCCTTAATGTCAAGAATGATCTTGCCACCGATCATCTTGTTGCCTGTTATTGCTGCCTGTGTGAAATACATCAACATCTCCATCTTGGATGATCCTATTTTCCTTATTGTCGCATTCATCTTGACTATTAGCCCACCAGCTATTCAATTGAGTCAAATATCTCAATTGAATGGAATTTATCAAAAGGAAATGTCTGGTGTATTGTTCTGGGGGTATGTCGTGTTAACCTTACCAACAACAATATTTATTGTAGTTGCATCGTTGAAGGTTTTGGAGTGGGCACAGTAGATGGGAAGTATATAGGTTCGTTTGTAATGAATTTTCACAGATTGCATTTGACATTTGGTGTTGCTATTTGATTTCTCTGAGTGGTACCACGATTACGTATAGCAGTTGAGAATAGGCATTTCCAAAACTGTATTCACTGTAGAAGCAGACCACATCTTCCTAGCTTTAGCTACAGGGCAATGCAGTCTTGTGATCACTAAATTTAATTTTGAGCACAAAACATTGCCAAGAAATGTGGACAGCTGAACCCACGTTGATATAAGTCTTTGCGCAGCTGTTGCTGTTATAACTTTGAGCAGATTGCAGTATCGCCTTCTACTAGGCTTTTCACAATACACTCCGCGGCTACAACAGTAAGTCAATTCCAAGATTACATTTTGCAGGTCAGTCTTCTCTTGTTCTATATGATCCGACTAATTTGGTTTTTCCGAAAGCAAACGTTTATTTCCGTATCTCCGAGTTCACGGTTTTTTCGCTAATCTCATCTACTTCTTTGATAGAGCATTTCTTCTTCTTTCGGCCTCAGGGTAGAATTTCCGCTTGTAACTTCTCGGGTCTTTGCCCAGTTACTATCTCAAAGTGTCTGTACACTAGGTCATCTTTCAGCAACGGAGATTGGCGGGTAAAGAAAATAATCTTGTGCCGAGCGCAAAGAACAGAACAGAACAAAAAAAAAAAAAAAAAAAAAAAAAAAAAAAAAGTTTGGTGACANAAAAAAAAAAAAAAAAAAAAAAAAAAAAAAAAAAAAAAAAAAAAAAAAAAAAAAAAAAAAAAAAAAAAAAAAAAAAAAAAAAAAAAAAAAAAAAAAAAAAAAAAAAAAAAAAAAAAAAAAAAAAAAAAAAAAAAAAAAAAAAAAAAAAAAAAAAAAAAAAAAAAAAAAAAAAAAAAAAAAAAAAAAAAAAAAAAAAAAAAAAAAAAAAAAAAAAAAAAAAAAAAAAAAAAAAAAAAAAAAAAAAAAAAAAAGAGAGTTGTGAGAAACCACATGGCCGAAACATCCGAATAGCGCTTGAGACATCTATCCTAGTGACAATGGCTGCCACTGTACTAACTGTAGACGGTGTTAGGGGATGATCCTTGCCACGAGCGGCTATTCCTCGGATATAACAGATTCCAAACCAACAAACTTTGTGTTCCACTTTGCAATCCATAGTTTTGATTGTTCTCTAACCTTTTGAGGTCCAATTAAGACACAAAAGAGTGTCTATTGTAAAGCAAATGCAAAGGTTAGGAAACAGAGATTGAATTAATAAACAACCAAACAATTTAAAATTAAGGTGAAGACAGAAGTACAACGGTCTAACCTTAACAAATAAAAAAAATAAAAATAAAAAAATATAACGGAGTCATTTTCTTGTTCTAGAGAGAGAAATAAACGCAGCAAAATAAAAATAAAAATAAAAAAAAAAAACTTTAAAAAAAAATAGATCCGATTTTCACATAATATATTCATTCCCATATCCATCCATCATCCCCCAGATGGCTATCATAAGCTAGCATACGATACTAATATTAAACTCAAACTATTCTGCCAAAAAAAAAAAAAAAATAACTTTTACAAGGCTCATTAGACAATTGAAAGGAAACCCTTCACAGTCACTTCCATACGGTTTTTAAAATTGGCCTTCTTGCATAATACACCACATCCTTCATATGACTCTTGATTCCACTTCAATAAAGGATAGAAAGAGTATACCCAATGTGGAGAACAATGCGTCACTGGACCAAAGTGCGGATCGCGATGCAGAGACAAGCGCAACCACAAAGTCGAGGAAAACTTTGAACCCCACATCCAAGTCGACGCCTGTATCTTCAAAGGATTTGCCTACTTCTGAAACATCCACTGCAACAAAGGCAGCCTTACAGGATAAACAAAAGAGGCGAAAGCATAAGAACTCCAAGTTGGGATGTCCAAACTGTAAGCAACGACGCGTGAAATGTTCAGAAGACCTTCCTTCTTGCAAGAATTGTATAAAACACAAGGTTGAATGTGGATACTTGCACTACACCAAAGAGGAGATTGAGGAGCTAAAACAAGCAAAACTAGAACGTCAACAAATGGTAGATGCGTCGAGGTCGGGCACGAAATTGGAATCGGAGGAAGTCGAGCATCAACCGGAGTCGGGCTTTGGCTCGAAAGATGGATCCCCCTTGGTGAAATCAAACTCTCCTTCTGCTATCAGAGACAACAAACAGAAGAGAACAGCAAACAAAACAAGGATCCTGAAGCCTAAAGATGCACGCACGTCGGCAAAGGCTACACAGAGAGCGGCGCTGAAACGTAATCAATCGCGGGACACTATATCAACCACGAACCCGGCATCGAGCACATTTCAGTCAAATGATAAAGAACAATCTCAAGACACACTCACCAATAAAACCCAAGTTAATGGAAGCGTTGTAGTCCAAAACTTTGATGATTTACTTGGCAATGATTCAGGAACGGGAAACTCAATCATATATCCTGTCTATCGAATGCATCAAAACCATCTGGAGGAGCATCATTTTAATATCGATCACACTGAATTTTCAGGAAAAAAGACAGACCTTCTCAATCTACCAACTACACCAACCTCGTTTGTGCCAGGAACTGCTTTACCTGGAGCAGTCCACAGACCGACGCTGTTTTCTGTTAGTCGTTTCGCAAATCACGTCAATTATGCAAAGGAAAGTGAACAATTGTACGTGAGAGAGAATCTGGACATAATGCACGGAGAAATGGACCTCGAGCGAGTGAGATATGTGTATTGGAACTGGTTGAGATCATGTGTTTATCAAGGTGCTTTGCATCCGTTACGATTTTACTGCTTGCTTAACATATGTGCCAATTATTTAATATCCAATTGCTTTGAGGATTCAAACAAACAGCTTGGCGCTGGCGCAACAAACTCGCCAATTGAGAGAGGTAAAGAGTTGGCTCACATGCGTCAAACATGTCTTGTAAAAACAATACATTACTATGACCAGGTTATAAAGCGTTTGAGGACTATGTTGGCTTCAAATAATCCAAATCCTGACACCACGTGCACCATTTCCTATTTGTTGGGTTTGACTTCGATGTACGATCCCGAGCGCTCCTCATATTCTACAAATTGTTATCGAGAAGGCCTTTTTGGCATGTTGGAACATTTTAATAGTCTAAGTGGACCCAGAGATCCTCCATTGGTTGTGAAGGTACAGCTTAAGTTGATGACAAACATTATGATGACAGGGAACTTACCTGCTTACGGTCCCGTGCTTTTAGCTGATGCACGTCAAATGTTGATTGCATATGGAGATATCATATTTTCAATATGTGAGCGTTTCGCAAACACGGTGGCACAAGACGACCCACGATTTTCCACCTGCCATTTCCTCCAATTGAAATATCATCAGCTTTTGCAATTTATGAGTGAGACTATTGACGTATATTATCCACAGATCAATGGAAACATGGGCAATATGCAAGCACAGCAATACATCTTGTATCAAATGTTAGCCAAATGGGTAATCATTTTCCCCAGTCAATTACTTTTCCCCAATGCAAGCCAGGGTCCTGTTGAAAAAGTCATGTATTTGTTCTACAAGTTTGTGAAGAAGGCACTATTTGCTGTTTTCCCACATGTGAAATTTTTCTTTCTACGCAATTTTGATGGACCTACGTTGTTGGATGTGTATGCCAGTGACGACTACAGTGTTTATGAGGAGCTATTGCAGCCATCAAATTTGAAAGTTGACATATCTTATTATAATCCTCATATTGAGCAGTTAAAGTATGTTGCTGCTTTCTTGATTCGTGGCTCAACATACATGTCTAAACGGTTTGCTATATTGTACCCGTTGCTAATGAGATTCATCGCCATGCATGATTTTCAAGGTAGTGACATAAACGAATGGCGCAAAACTGTTCAAAACTTTGCTGCCTTACGGGAAGATTTTCGCGAGAAGATGCAAGTGTCGGAAATGAATTTAAATTCACTCACCCATGGATATATTCAAAGAAGCAATTACCCCATGGTGGGAAGCGAAATAGGGCACCATAATATTTCGAACGATTTACTTGTTGATTTCTCAACGTTGTTACCCCTGGGACTTTTAGCAGGAGATTACGATCCTGCTCTTGACAGAGTGTGAGAAGGCTTCATCATTCTTAGAGCTTTTACAGGTGATACAAGATTGTGTTTCAGCCGCATTGCAATCTTGAGAATCAAGTGAACTTTATTTATCAAGTACAGCAGCCACGTCTTCAACTCCTCCAACCCCAACATAATCTAGTCATGTCTAATTTTTCCAAGGTTTTGAGTAGCCATCGATGTCGATTCCATACGACTGTATATATATATATATATATCTTCCTCTTGCATAAATTGAAACCGCAGTTTGTCTGTTCATTTTCATTTTTCTCGTGTCGCAATTTAAAATTTTTATTGTCCCCAGTTCTCTCTCCTAAAACGCCAACATTTTCATTTCTCAGTTGAACATCAACTTTGCTCAATTGTCAAAGTCCCATACATATAACATAACCAGGTTGATACATATATACGCACATACACACAAACACACATAACTGATATAGCATGGCAGAAAACACGGACGATTACTCCTACGATTATGAATACTTGTACAAAATAGTGCTCATTGGTGATTCAGGTGTCGGTAAATCAAATTTATTATCGAGATTTACACGAGATGAATTTAATTTAGAAAGCAGATCCACTATTGGGGTTGAATTTGCCACTAGAACTTTGGAGATTGATGGAAAGAGGGTCAAAGCACAAATCTGGGATACTGCTGGACAAGAAAGATATAGAGCAATCACATCAGCCTATTATCGTGGTGCAGTGGGCGCATTAATTGTTTATGACATTGCCAAGACAGAGAGTTATGAAAGTGTTAGCCGTTGGTTGAAGGAGTTGAAGGAGCATGCCGATGCAAATATTGTGATTGAATTAGTGGGTAACAAGTCAGATTTGGATCATTTGCGAGCTGTCCCTACTGAAGAAGCCAGAAATTTCGCCTTGGAAAACAACTTGTTATTCACCGAAGCGTCAGCTTTGAGCTCTGATAATGTTGATTTGAGTTTCCACCAATTGTTGAAGAACATTTACGAAATGATATCGAAACACCAATTGGACACAAATGAGCAAGGTGGTTTGAAATCTCCTAGTAACGGCCCAACGATAAGTTTGACACCCGCACCTAAGGAAAAGAAGAGCAGCAAGAATAATTCAAACTGTTGTTGAGAGAGGCAAGGGGGAGGGGGAGGGAGCTGTAATTGTGTGTCTGTTGGTTTTCCAGAGCACACACTCTATAAAGTCGTATAGGTGATCTGCCTTGTGCATACATATACTAATTATGTTCTTTTAAATCTACAGTAACCTATATCATCATGTTCAAGCAATCTTTTTCAACTTGCTCACGGGTTGTTTCACTGGTCTGCTAGAGGAAGTAGAGCCTCCGGTGGTTCCAACCTTAAGGTCGCTTGAGGGACCAGTTTCAATGGTAAAATTAACAATTTGCTCTCCTCTTAATACAATTAATCCAATATGTCTTCGTGTCAAATCAGGCTTACTACTTTTGGGTATTTCTGTAGGAAATAGCGGCGTAGTGGATGCCGATGTGATGGGTAATTTCTTGTTGGCCCTCTTCTGACTCTGAATTCGTAATTCAGTCAAGCTTTTCTTCGTGATTCTTGCTTCTTCTGTATCTGCCAATACTACGTTTAGGTGCTTGTCAAAAGAAAGTAGCGTTCCTGTGTATGTTCTGTTATCAACCGTGTGTATCTTTAACCGGTTATTGATCAAGTCTGACATTTTGGTCTTTTTGGTAATGGGTAGTTTAGCTGACTAGAAGTTGCAGTTAGTTTATATTCTCTCGCTTTCAACGTATGAGGAGACACTGTACATACCATCTTATGAATGTTTTTATTATTGGGTTGTGTTAATCGGTTACACCTAGATGCTTTATTCAAAAGTGTGAAGTTTTTCCAAAAAAAAAAAAAAAAAAAAAAAAGTATTGTGTGTCTTTTCGACACAATTTCACGACATTGAAATTACAGAAAAGCAATCTGGAAAAAATCCAACAACACGGCTCAATCTTCTGACAACACGTAAACCAATTCTTTTCACCGGAAACTTGTTGACCCATATTGAATCGCTGTGACTGATCAATTTCAAGCTTCTCAATTCGATTGATACATTTACTTTATCCTGTGTTACACCTCGATTGTTGAAAACACGTCTGAATCGACCACAATGTCCGAGCAAGAAGTTCAAGAGTTGCCAACCGAAACAGTTGAAGAAGTTACAGTTGAGTCAAAGAACGAAGATGCCCCAACTAATCCAAATGGTAACGATGCAGCTGAAAACGCGACTGATGCAAATACTTCCACCACCGAAAGTACAAAGAGAAAAGAATCAGATGTAGCTGCCGGCGAGCCAAAGAAGAAGAAAAAGAGAAGAACATATGACGACGACGAATCGGAACCAAAGAAAAAGGAAGAGAGTACCAAAGGTGGTGAAAAATTGGGTGACGAAGATGAAGATGAAGATGAAGATGCTGATGCCGAAGTGCAAGAAGAAGGGGAGGAAGAGGAAGAGGAAGAGGAGGAGGAGGAGGACGATGATGATGATGATGACGATGACGAAGAGGATTACGAAGGAGAGGACGATGCAGAAGATGACGAAGAAGAAGTGGATGAGCTCAATGAAATCGACACTACAAACATCATTACTGGGGGAAGAAGGACAAGAGGCAAGCAAATTGATTTCAAGGATGCTGCTGCAAAGTTAGATGCAGAGAAAACCGAAAATTAAGGTAATAGTAGTAGTTCCGGAAACTATCAAAAAAAGATTTACATGTCCCCCCTCTCCTTACTTTGAGATTTTGTAATTGACTAAGCAATGTCAATCTTTGTTTGAGAACGTATTCGTTTTCTTTTTTTTCTTCATTGATGAGGTGTAACATAGGATCCCATATGGACTATATCACCAGTGGAGAGCATTTACCTCGCAAATATTACTGTAGAGTTATACTCAAAGAGTGTCTTGTACAGATAAAAGCCTCGTTTGTTTGAGAAACCGTAAAACTCAGTACCCATTTTCCACTAACTCATCTACACGCGCAGCGTCCTCAATCACTCCACCCTCAGCAATTTCATCAGTTTCACCAATCTCTCCAGATTCTCCTGGCTCTCCGTTTTGTCTTGTTTCGCTCGTCTCTTCTGAAGTTGCTGCTGCCTCCTGTGCCGCCTGTTGCTGAGCAGCTTGTAACTTTGCCTTCTTCTTAGAAAGCCTGGTTTCACCTCTCTCTTGTCTGAGCACCTGTTGTTCTCTATATTTTGCAAGATATATCTTTAAAACCTCCGCATAGTTTTCAAACCCCAAATCGTACATCAGATATAGTATATCTTCCCCATTGATTGTTTTTCTCTTTTCTCTTAAGCACCTGTCAGACGCCTCGCTTGTAATAAATGATATGAACTCTGAAACACACTCCTGCATGCATTCCTTAGCATCTTTAGAGACTTTGGCTGTGGGTGGAAGGGTATTTTTCATAAGTCTGGCAACATTTGCAATGGGTAACCATCGATCCTGCTCTCGTAGCTCTAAGTCTCTTGTATTTGGCTCCATTATATAGCGTGATGATCAGATGTACAATGTATGACTTTAACTGTCTGTATACAACTCTACCAGGTGTTGTACTGTGATTAGCATTAACTTGGTTGTTAATGGCTAGATCGTTTATGTTGAAAAAATTGGAGACATTTGCGACACTTTTTTATTTTCTTTTTTTTTTTTTTTTTTTTTTTTTTTTTTTTTTTTTTTTCTTTTTTTTTTTTTTTTTTTTTTTTTTTTTTTTTTTTTTTTTTTTTTTTTTTTTTTCCTCCCTTTTTTGACCCATGTTTCTCCCCAATTCGGCAAGAGGATACCTAATCAAGCGGGAAAAAGCCGCACGTGAACTTAAGGAAGCTTTTGAAATTGGCTGCAGCATGAAGTACCGTAAAACAAGAATCTGGGATTGGAGTGGAATTTTGCAATAGATAAGCACCCATCTTGAGATAGAGATCTAGTATAGTGTTTTGTCAAACGCGTTACATTGTCGTGTCGAGTAAATTCAAATTGTGCGCAACTGAGAATAATCTTGACAAAATCTGTAAGCAATACACACATGTCGATATCTTAAGAGTACATTATGAAAAGATCGGCGCCACGGGGTATTGCCAAAGACAATTTTGATGGCTCAGAGGCTGATATTGTTGATGAGTCTGCTAAGGGAATCTCCTCGTTAGTCCTTGTTCAAGTGGTGACAAAGTTGTTGACTTTCGTATTAAATCAAGCCTTGATTAGATATGTTTCTCCAGATGTGTTTGGGTTGATTGTTTATTTGGAATTTCTTCAGTCGTCGGTTTTGTTTATCAGCAGGGAGTCTGTTCGTCTCGCAGTGCAGAGGATCACTCATGACCAAACTAAAACACAAACATTGCAGAAGGTGATGAACTTTGGTTTCTTGTCTTTCATAGTTGCCATCCCGGTTACCTTGCTCATTGGTTACTTCCAGGGGATAAGATCTGTCAACTTCCAACAATACTTTTTGCATCTTCCATTTCACGAATTGTCAGTTGCAGTCATAATCCTCCTGACCATACTTGAGTTAAGTATTGAACCCATTTATTGTATGTATCAATACGAGTTGGAGTTTGGAAAACGGTCAAAGTTTGAGGGATTTGCTTTAACTACAAAATGCGTCACCACATTTGTGGCGATTTATCTCGCACGTCAATATTTTACAGGACGTGATTTTAGTGGAGCTTCGATTTTGTCGTTTATGATTGGTCAACTTGCCTATTCTGCAACATTGTTCATTTCATATGGCACTTCTTTTACAAAATTCAATGCGAGGAAAGGCACTAATGTCAAGTATGGCATCTTTGGTGATAATAAAGGTCCCAAGTTTGATTCTGGTGTGTTGTCGATTTTAAAGAGTCTTTTCATACAACTGATCTTTAAGCAAGTTCTTACTGAGGGAGACAAGCTATTGATAAGTTATCTATGCACAATCGAAGAGCAGGGAATTTATGCGGTGATTGTCAATTATGGGTCAATAATCGCGAGATTGCTCTTCCAACCATTGGAGGAGTCGACTCGGTTGTTGTTGGCCAAGATAGTAAACAGTACTGAGAATCCAAAGAGCGAGACTTTGGCCCAGTCTTTTACATACATTAGGATGGTTAGCTTGTTTTATTTCAACTTGTGCCTATTCATTATTTTTGCTGGAATCACAAATGGGTCCTTCCTACTTCGTCTCATGATGGGAGGTCAAAACAGGTGGGCACAATCCAATATATTTGACTTATTTACCCTCTACATCACCTACATACCCTTTTTAGCTTTCAATGGTGTTTTCGAGGCATTTTTTACGGTAACTGTACAGCCGCATGAAATCCAAAAGTACTCGAGATATATGACATTTGTTACAATGATAGTTTTGGTGGTGCTGTACATGTTGATCTCGGTAATGGAATTGAGGTTAGCGGGGTTGATATTAGCCAACATTCTCAATATGGCCATGAGAATCGGTTACTGTTACCGCTCTATTAACAAGTACTACGGAACCGGAATCAGCTTGCTTAGTTGCTTGCGTTATGCCTCTGGATCTATTGCATGCACGATAGTTTCCTGGATCGTGCAGTACATTTTTGTCTTTAAACTGGAATCTTTTGTTACAGAGACATGGTCTGAATTGTTCAAGAGCGCAATCTTCTCGGGCATCCTTCTAGCAAATCTCATGATTCTAGAAAGGCAAAAGATTCAAAACTCATTCAATAGAATTTTCAAAATCAAGAGTGAATAGGGTCTGTAGGGTTCATAGAAGCCAACAACATAGAAAAAAAAAAAAAAAAAAAAATTTAGAGTTGTCACACTAAGTCACTATAGCATTGTCAACGAACCAACGTCGTGCCATCCAGTACCGCCTCCGTCACGGATAGCATTACTGTGCTGAATTGCTTCCCTCCAGTGGTGGTGCTATTAATTACCCGGGTAAGACGTGCTGATTCCTCAAGCAGTACTGTACCCAAACCGCGAGGATCGAACTGGACACTACGAAAGCAAAATGTTTTACAACGCCAAGCGCGCAACAAGTGCACTTCCGCCAAAGGCCATCACAGCCAAAACTTTCAAAATTTTTTGGGGAGGCAATTGTGATGCGTGCAAAAATTGCATCAACTCGTTGGGACTGTGCATGTTGACGAAAGTGCTCTTGTATACCAGGAATAGTCCGTAGAGCTAACGCAGGATATTTGTTATGCATTCTTACCACATTTGCGCTGTTTTGTGTTTATCAATTTCAATGTCAAAAAATCTTTCAAGATTTTGTAACAAAATCATCGCAAACGACAACACACCTCCTTACTGACAATGTCATTGGTGGAACTACTGCAAGAGATAGACAAGTTAGCAAAAGTAATTATTCAAAAGAATCAAGAGCTAGATAATCTAAAGAAGGGGTACAATGAGAGATTGAAGGCAATCAACAGTTTCATTTCCACCCTACATCTTGACCAAACAGATGAGAGAATCACACTGGACGAATTTGCTCGAGAAATCGGTAAAGAAATATCATGTCCTAATTGCAACCACACCATATACAATGGCGAAGCAGACGACTTTATCCTTATACCAAAGAGACAAGTAGAGTACTTGTCGTCGGGGGGAGATGTTGCCAAGCCGGCGGCCGAACCTGCCCCTCTTCCGCAAATGAAATTGAGCCAAAAATCAAAGAGAAAAGCTCATATAACATGCTCATTTTGCAGAGAGCAAGGCCATACTAGAGCGAACTGCAAGAAGCGACTTGGGACGACGAACTGAATAGTCATCGAGAAATAGAAATAGAAATAGAAAAAAAAAAAAAGAAAAGAATCGTTTCGTTAAATACATTATAAACATTCACTTCGTAGCTTGCACCATGGCCTCTGTTTAAGGTTAGTATTGCATTCACATATTGAAAATAAATCTAATCAACATACCTCTCCTCGATGCATCTTGTAGTAAAGTACAGTCAACTGAGTTAGGGTTCATGTGAACATATCGGACTGTAGATCCTCTGATGAATAAATTTTTCACAGCATCTAGATATGGATATTTGTCACCATTCGTGCAAGTTATATCGTCTAATTTCAAGTTCAAGTATTGGTCCACCGATTTCAAAATGCCCCTTATTTCCATATCATTCTTTAGCTCGACTGTCACCTCTTGGTCCACCAAGGTCTTGAAAAAACTGAAAAACAACATTCGATACCGGGGGGGGGGGGGGTTGAAGACCGTATATTCTAATATCTCGTTGAGTTTTTCCCTCGTTTCTTTCTTTTTTTCTTTTTTTCTTTTTTTTTTTTTGTAATTTTTTTTTGTATTATTTTTTTTTGCTTGCAATTTTCCTTTCTCTATAAAATCTACACATGGCACTTGCTAGTCTTTGAAAACTAATTGAGGCGCAACGCATGTGTCACTGAGCCCGTGTGGTAAAACAGCAACGTCAGGATTCTCCTCATTATAGCTGAAATAGTCATTGGAAAAGCTTGAGGAGTCAAATTGTGCGCTCAACTCATCTCCAAGCAGATGACATGATGGGCCAACCTGGAAGTGGTTGTTATCAATTGTGTTGAAGAAAGTTGTCTCATTGTAAACAGGATTGCTTCCAATTGAGCTCTCCGAGCTGGAAGAAGATCTTCTGGAAAATGTAAGCAACGCTTTTTGTGTATCTAGGAACCCATCAGAGTATGGAATCACATTCTCTTCATCTGATCGAAGCAATCCCTGACTCAATGGGGAGGGGACATACCGTGGCGTGTTTAGGAAATTTGCCACATTGTGGACTCGCTGCAATGGAACATGTTGTTGTTTGTAATTTGGATATGAAGAAGATGGTCTCCCTCTTATAGTGAGTGGAGGCGTGTTTGCAACAGCAAGAACTGCAAATGTATCCTTTTCTCTCAACTCAGCCAAAAGCTGGATCTGGATTATAACTTGATTTCTCTCATTTAATCGATGTTTTCCGACACTTGAACTGAACTGGATTCTTTCATACTTTGCTACTGTAACATAAGACTCACCTTTTTCGTATCCATGCAAGATAGAATCTCGATCTTTGATTTTTATTTGATTGTATTTTGTAGCAAACATGTGCTTTGACTTTTCAACTTTTTCGTGATTTCGGAGGTTAAAGTTTTGTTTTATTACTGAATGACTTGGTAACGAACCTGGAATTGAGAAAATTATTGGCGGTGAAATACCGTCCGTTCTCTTTGCCGTGTGTTGCACTAAAGTAACCTCACTGTTGTCTCTCATACTCCTACAAACCAACCTTAATGCAAACCTTTTGATATCGTGACGTTTCTCAGTTGTAGTCAAGTAAAAGTTATTTTCCAGAAGTAGTGAAATGCTTGACTTGATATCCTCAAACAGGAAAGCAGCCACCAAAGAAAAGTAGTTGCGCTTATAGCCAACCCATTTATCTTCCTCAAGATCAAAGCCTCTATCAATTCGTGCATGGATTGTTGGATTCAATTTCATATTTGAGGATTCGACAAAGAGAGGTGAAACCTCGATTGTGTCGCTGAATGGTGGGCCCACTTTAAATTGCAAAGTAGATCTTGGTGCTAGCTTAGGTGATGATATAAGTAAGGGACTGGGGTCGGAATAGAATGAATTGTGTGACATTCTGCTGTGTTATTTGCTTTATATTGAGGAAGAGAAGGAGGAGGAGGAGGAGGAGGAGGAGTGTTGCAAATGGAATCTCGATTTTTGCAACACAAAATTTATTTGATTACAAAGGCTCAAAGCAGGGAAATGAATGTGCTATTGGTAACTATGCTTATAAAAAGCCATATAGCTATAAAAGACAACTGGATAACTAGTTACTGAATCACCAAATCGAGAGCGATTCTAGCATAAACCAATGAGTTGGTCAAATAGACACAACTAAAACTCACTTGGTAGCTCGCACATCTCATCTTAAGCTTTGGAATATTTTTTTATGCCATTTTTTTTTTTTTTTTCAACTCTTCACTCTCAACACTCAACTCATCACTCATCACTCATCATACCAACCAGCAAAATATGGGTAAAAAAGCTATTGATGCTCGTATTCCAGCATTGATCCGTAATGGAGTCCAAGAGAAGCAAAGGTCTTTTTTTGTCATTGTTGGTGACAAGGCAAAGAACCAACTCCCCAACTTGCACTACTTGATGATGAGTGCAGACCTTAAAATGAACAAGTCGGTATTGTGGGCTTACAAGAAGAAGTTGTTGGGTTTTACATCTCACAGGCAGAAGAGAGAAGCGAAAATCAAGAAAGATATCAAACGAGGTATTAGGGAAGTAAACGATCAGGACCCATTCGAAGCTTTCATTTCGAATCAACATATACGATACGTCTACTATAAGGAGACAGATAAGATATTGGGTAACACTTATGGAATGTGTATACTTCAAGATTTCGAAGCAATGACACCGAACTTGTTAGCAAGAACAATCGAGACCGTTGAAGGAGGTGGGTTAGTGGTGATATTGTTGAAAAATATGACTTCTTTGAAACAACTTTATACAATGAGTATGGATATACACTCGAGGTACAGGACCGAGGCTCATGATGATGTGGTGGCCAGATTCAATGAGAGATTCTTGTTGTCTTTAGGCTCATGTGACAACTGTTTAGTTGTGGATGATGAATTAAATGTCTTGCCTATATCAGGAGGTAAACATGTGAAACCATTGCCACCCAAAGACGATGACGAGTTGTCTCCAAAACAAATGGAACTAAGAGAGTTGAAAGAGAGTTTGGCAGATGTTCAACCGGCAGGAAGCCTTGTCAATTTGGCCAAAACAATTAACCAGGCTCAAGCAATTCTTACCTTCATTGACGTTATTGTTGAGAAAACATTGAGAAGTACAGTGACATTGACTGCAGGCAGAGGTCGTGGTAAATCAGCGGCTTTGGGAATTGCTATTGCAGCAGCAATATCTCAAGGCTATTCAAATATTTTCGTCACATCACCCTCGCCCGAAAACTTGAAAACTTTGTTTGAATTTGTCTTTAAAGGCTTTGATGCTTTGGGGTATACTGAACATTTGGATTACGATATTATTCAATCGACCAATCCTTCTTTTAACAAGGCTATTGTCAGAGTTGACGTAAAAAGAGAACATAGACAGACTATTCAGTATATCTCACCAACTGATAACCATGTTTTAGGACAAGCCGAATTGTTACTCATTGATGAAGCTGCAGCGATTCCATTACCAGTTGTGAAAAAGTTGATGGGTCCATATTTGGTGTTTATGGCCTCGACCATCAATGGTTACGAAGGAACCGGAAGATCATTGTCATTGAAATTGATCCAGCAATTACGTAATGAGCAGCAAATGAGGAATGCTCCCGCAGGAACTGAAATTGTTTCAAGAGACAAGAAGCTGACAGACGTTGGTGGCGGCTCCTTAACCAGAAACTTGAAGGAGGTGGTATTGGACGAACCAATTAGGTATGCTCCCGGTGATCCAGTTGAGAAATGGTTGAACAAATTGTTGTGCCTCGATGTTTCATTATCAAAGAATGCAAAATATGCCACAAAGGGGACTCCACATCCTTCTCAATGTAATTTGTTTTATGTCAACAGAGACACCTTGTTTTCATACCACCCAGTCTCTGAGGCGTTTTTACAGAAAATGATGGCCCTATACGTGGCATCTCATTACAAGAACTCACCAAACGATTTGCAATTGATGTCTGATGCTCCAGCACATCAATTGTTTGTTTTGTTGCCTCCTATTGAGGAAGGTGACAATAAGATACCGGACCCATTGTGTGTTGTACAACTTGCGTTGGAAGGTGAGATATCAAAGGAGAGTGTAAGGAAATCTTTAAGCAGAGGACAAAGAGCAGGCGGTGATTTGATTCCATGGTTGATTTCCCAGCAATTTCAAGATGAAGAGTTTGCTTCTTTATCTGGTGCTAGGGTGGTTAGGATTGCTACCAATCCAGAATATTCCGGTATGGGATATGGTTCGAGAGCTATGGAGTTATTGCAAGACTATTATTCAGGTAAATTCACGGATATTAACGAATCATCGACATTAAATGACACCACCATGACACGTGTGACCGACGCGGAACTAGCCAATGCATCATTGAAAGATGATATTAAATTACGAGAAGCTTCGACATTACCACCATTGTTGTTGAAACTTTCTGAAAAAGCGCCATATTATCTAGATTATCTTGGTGTCTCGTATGGGTTTACGTCACAATTGCACAAGTTCTGGAAAAAGGCAGGATTTACTCCTGTTTACTTGAGACAAACCGCCAATGAATTGACAGGAGAACACACGGCGGTTGTATTGAACGTTTTACCTGATAGGGAGAATAAATGGTTGACCGAGTTTTCCAAGGATTTCCACAAGAGATTTTTGCAATTATTGTCGTACGAGTTTAAGAAATTCCAAGCATCTCAAGCTTTGGGTATTATAGAAGCGGCAGAGCAAGGTGAAGGTGAGAATACAACAAAAGCTTTGACCAAGGAACAACTTGACGATTTATTGTCTCCATTTGACTTGAAAAGATTGGATTCATATGCTAACAACTTGTTAGACTATCATGTGATTGTTGATATGTTGCCACTTATTGCTCAATTGTATTTTTCGAAAAAGACAGGCAACTATGTCAGCTTGTCATCTGTGCAATCAGCCATTTTATTGGCAATCGGCTTACAACATAAGAATATTGATCAAATAGCCAGCGAACTCAATCTAGCTCCCAACCAAGCAATGGCAATGTTTGCCAAAATCATTAGAAAATTTTCCACATATTTCAGAAGCGTTTTAACAAGGGCCATTGAAGAGCAATTGCCAGAATTGGAGGACGAACAAATTAAGGAAATGGAGGGAAATGTGGAAGAGGAAGTCGACTACAACCAAATTGAACAGAACTTGCATGATGATTTAGAGGAAGCTGGTGACGAAGCTATCTCCGAAATGAGAGAGAAACAGCGTGAATTGATCAATGCTTTGAATTTGGACAAATACGCAATTGCCGATGACGGTGAATGGGATGAGAAATCAATGTCTAAAGCTGCCAAGGGTAAAGCTAATGGGACTGGTGTTGTTGCGGTTAAGAAGGGTAAGAGAAAATCAGGAGAAAATGCCAGTGACATTTATGAACAAGAAATGAAAGCAGTTAAAAAGAACAAGAAGGGGAAGAAGTGAAGTGAAGTGAAGTGAAGAGGAGAAACAAATGTCTATAAATTATCTATAATAATATCTAGTGTTTTTCGAACCAATTCCAGTAGAGTGGAGTCACTATCGTTTCTGATATTGTAAATGTGATGTTTCCGAAGCGCTTCCGGTTTCAAGTTGTTGTCGACATCCTCACCCACAAATAGATATTTGTGTGAATTTACAAACCCTGGCCAAACAATTTTTTCAAAATAGTCTGGAGGATCGACCCAAAACCCTTCAGCCGTATTGTAGCCACCTCGTGATTCTCGTCTCTGTTTCAAAGTGCTGAACGAAGCATGGAAAAGAAGTTCGATGTCAAATAGGTCCACCAACTCAGGGTTGTGGAATAACATGAATCCATCAATAAACACCAATTTTTTCCCTTTGAACTTATCCTGCTGTGAATCAATTTTGTCAACAATTGCCCTCTTTTCCAGTGGGTCTAACTTTAAATTCAAATCGTTGGATTGAATTGAGTTGATCGGAACTTGTTCCTTGCCAGATTTGACATTCTCCACATAAGTGGTGAATTTCTCAAAATCAATAGCTTCAGCGCAATCCCAGTTTTGATATCCTGTTGCCTCGTCTATGGGTATGCGTGAATCTGTGAGATAGAAGTCATCCAAGTGGATTAGTGTCACATCTGCGAGTAGAGCTTTCAAAGTTTGTGCAATTGTTGTTTTCCCACTTGATGAAGGCCCACCAAAAGCTATAAGCACAACTTGCTCATTTTGTCTAGTCATGAAATGTGTAGGTTTAGTGTGGGCTTGTTACGAGTTTGAGCTTATCTGCTGAGACATTACCTTTCCACTTTTTCTCTTCTTTTTTTTCTTTTTTATTTTTTTTTTATTTTTTCGTTTTGAAATTCTCGGAGTTAGCAACTGATAGGACTTGGCACTCTCCCATTATTGTTGGGCAACAGAGAAAACGTTTTAATTGTTGATTTGTAATGATTCTTGCTGGACGAGTGACCACCTTTATAGCAACAAGTGGGTCATAGGGGAGCAAAACGTTTACCTTGAAGGGGAAAGCGGGGAATACATCTTGTTGTCAAGTTGTGTTGCTGTGTGTAAATGTTGAGCAAAGTGCTCCCAACGCATACGATCAATACGGAAAGCGGAAGATGAAGGAATCAGATGATTCGAGTTGAGACAGTTGTGTGAGAGTGAAGTATTCGGAGTTAAGCATGTGCCAACTCTATATATTTGAAGTAAATCCGATGAATTCGAAGCACGCCACCTCGCAAATCCGCACTCAACACTTCAAGTTAGTTTTCCATTAAATACATAGCTTCAAAATCTAGTCTCTGCAACTTTAGTAGATGCGTTTGGTTTTACCAAATGATCTTTGAAGCTTCTATCCGTTTTAGGAAATTTTTTCTATTTTGTACCATTTTGTATCTCGCAATTGCACATGCATTAACTTTGTGTCGATTTTGAACCAAAGATTGCAGTGCGATGCTTTTGTGTTCTCTGGCAGTTGCGATTTTTGTATACTACAAAGTCTAGACTTTAGTACAACCTATAGCAATTTTCTTTTTTTTTTTTTGGAAAGAAACAACGGCTCATTAGAGAGTAGCAGCCCAGTGTTTAGTTGTTAATGGTTGGAACTGATCGATAAGGGGGGGGGGGGGTGAGGAGGTTTTCCCCAGACGACTATTGTAAGGTTAGATTTGAAATCAAAGTAGTTTTGTAGTTTACCTCCTTCTGAATCGTAGTTTTCCCACTTGAATCATGATTTTAAGTTGGATACGTACGTACGAGATTGAGCACACCCACATATTGTTACAACGGATCTGCCTTTGCAAAGCGGCGAAATCAATCACACCCCCCCCCCCTCCGAGACTGATTCTTTTATCAAATATGCATAACTTTTACTCCTTTGATGCTGATCGATTAAACGCTACTTCTCGTCTCAACCTGAATCATGAGAAGATCTTGAAAATGTGTACCTGAACGTGAAAACAATGTATTAAAGACATTGAAAAAAGTATGTTGTTTTTGAATATGATTTTTGAATTAAGCTAAAACAACAAACAATTGATTTAAAAAAATATCTCTCACAGAAGGACAAAAAAAAAAAAAATTTCCTTTTTTCGCAGCCTTTGCGAAATGAATACTTTCCCAATTAGGAAAACATATCAAATTACACTTGAAAATACAATGCACAACCAAACTACGTTGATTTAGTCTGCAACATTTCAAATGAAAAGCAACAATGAAAAATCTACAATCTCAGGAGTTAAGTCCAACAAGTAACTGATTACAAAACTCTCCTTTCAAATTGTAGCACAAACTGTTGTGAAAGCTCTTTACTTCAACTTTCAATTAAATACAAAACTGTTTCCAGATTCTCTACAAGTTCTCAAAATTCTAAAACTTGTTTCACCATTTCTTCCCCATTTTTCTTTGGCTGCTGCAGTTTATAGATTTGTTGAGTCAGTGTTCATGAACCCCTTAACACACCCATCGTTCGTTTCCTTCAACTAGTGCTAAACGCAACAAAGCCAGACTGAACCTCACCCTACCTGGCCATATCGTTTTCATCAATTTTTTTTTTTAAAGTGCTATAGTCGCATAAGAGTATTATATCCAACGCGTGAAATATATCCAAGGTGTTATCGCTAGTCAATCTAATGAGTGCTACTCCAGACTTGGGTCGGAGTTCAACATCAGCAGCGTCTCCAGCAATGACAACAACCACAACAACAGCAGCGGCAGCAGTACCGAACCAACCAAAGTCATTCACTGACTACACCACTCCTTCACCTATTGAAGAGGAACGTATTCATAAACCACAGCAGGAGAGATTCTCGCCCACAAATGCCGATTTATTGTCCACTTTAAAGGACTTCAATGTCGACAAGACAAAATACAAACATTATGGACACCTGTCCCTGATGAATGCCCAAATTTTGGAGAAAGTTATGCACATGAATACTCCAGAACAAGAAAGTGGCTCCTCACTGAATACTGGTAAACCAAAGGTGGAGGAGGAGATGGCTCGGGTGTTAGCCGCATTGCCAAACACCATTGAACAAAAAGGGGCACAGTCTCAGAGTACAGACCTATTGAGTGAATTGATCCAATTGCAAATAGAACAAGAAAGGACAAAACAAAGTGTACTCAAAAAGGAGATTGGCAATACCGCATTACAATTGTTTGCCATTGCTAAAGAGTTGAATGTGAATGCCGACCTCATTCCATTTTTGTTTGCATCAGATTCTATAACACTTCAAGGATTGAATAATCTGATTGACAGATTGAAGCAAGATCCCACTGGTACAATTAATGATCTTACTGAGCACTCGAGACAGTCCGAGGTTGAAATGTCAAGATACAAGAGAAAGCACTCAGACACACAATTGCCATCGTTTTCAGAAACAGCACAAAGTATAATTGGCTCGAATATTGCATCTCCACTGCGATCACCAAACAAGACACCAGCATTGGCACATAGAAGGGTAGTATCCGATAGCAGTGACTCAACCACCAAAGGATCTTCACCTATTAATTCCGGTTTCTTGCCACTCCTGTTTATTGTCAACTCAAACGAGTCTGAGCAAAACCCTGAACCGCAACATCGTCATCAACATCATCAACAACAACAACAACAACAACAACAACAACAAGAGCAACATTCTCATGCATCTCTGGGTATAACTCAAAGCCAGCTGCTACAACATCTGCCAAATATACAACCACAACCTTCACCTCCGCCTACTACTTACCCTGCTAGTCACTACACTACTCCACAACACGTCCCCAAACCACCTCCGCCAGCACCACAGGCACCACAGGCACCACAAGCACCACAGATACAACACTTACCACTACCACCTGCTGCTGGACACGCCACAAACCCACAACCTACCCCTGGTCATGAAATGTCCAACCTGGGCTCTCCACATTTGCCAAAATATCCTCTTGTACATCCTCACGCATATCACCAAGGCGGCTCCAATTATATTCCTCAGCAATACCCTTATTATGTATCTACATCCCCTTCAGCTTACAATCACCATGCATATGCTTCTACTAATGCAGTCGGATCTTCTCCACAACAGCAACAGCAGCTCCAGCCTTCGCTTCAAGTGTCGTCACCAAACCAGCCACAGCAGAATTCTTCACCTGGTCAAATATCACCTCGTCCAGTGTACCAGCAAAAACCACACACTAATTCTTCTCAATCCACTAAGAAACAACCTGTTCCTACACACCAGTTTGAGTCTAGTGATTCCAAAAAGATTGTGTTTAAATCAGTGGATGAGGACGCACCAGCTTCAAAGAGGCAAAAGAATTCTAAGCAGACTGGAAGTATCAATTTCATGATAACGACACCAAAGAACCCACCAGCAAGGAAGTACAACAATCCTAACAAGGAGAAGTGAATGCAAGAGGGGATATAGCTACTACCAACGTGGTCCGTACAGAAGTGGGTCCTTTGGTTGGCGAATGCTTTTCAATTCATACCTTTTTGTCGACACACTTTTCATTTTCAATTCTTTACTTGCGTTGAGCCATGCAGCTCTTTATTTTATTACGATACCATCTATATAGAATAGAAAAATACTTTCTTCAAATACACGTATATCATTAATATCAATCAAACTAGGTAGTTAGTGCACATTGGTGAAGAAGATTCGGCCGAAAGAATGCAAAGGGTGGGGGTCCAAATATGTTCTATACCCGTACCCGGATCTAATACGCAATAGAATAGGGAAAGTGACATCATTGAAAACGGCTCAGCATCACTCAATGCTGAGATATCGTGTTTTTAGGAAAAAGGCTTTTCCCACAGACATTGTCGGAATTAAATACGGAAAATTACTCGATAAGGAAAATGACTGCGGAGTATTTCCGACTTTTGCTGCGGCATTACGGAGATTTACTTTTTACTTTTTGCTGATCGGACTTATAAACACCATTAGCCCACTTAAAAACTGACCCCAATGCATTGAGTAGCAAACGTTATATAATTTGACCAAACCCTTGATGGAGGTTTTATCCTGTGTGTCTATTGAGGTTAATCCTCTTACCACAAGACTCTCGTATACAAGCTTCGTAGATCTCTGTCGTTTCTTCTCGGACTTAACATATCGGGTAATATATCCGTGCGCGCATCTTCTTTTTTTTTTTTTTTTTTTTTTTTTTTTCGCAAAGGGTTCAATTTTGA